GTTTCCAAACCAGCCACCAAGACACAGAAAAGCATCTTCCCTGGGAGAAGATGAAGCACATGGGGACTCTATGCATCACGAGCACAGTGAACCTTTCAAACCTCCCTGCCATGGCAGGGTCACGTCTCCTACCTTGGAAGCAGTAGTAGTGGCAGTCCTTCTGCTCCCTGGTCAGGGCACACACAGCAGGAAAGACCATGTCCAGCAGCAGGCAGGCCTGCAGGGGCACAGCGGCTCAGGAAGAGGGCAGGCACAGAATTTCCAGGGAGAAAACCCTGCCATGAGACAGGCAAGGAGAGTGCTCCTGCTTCTCCTGCTCTTACAGAGCACACCTCTGCTCCCTGCCAGAAGTCCTCAGCTCATGAGGACTTGGGAGAGACTAAAGCTGGGCAGAGATGGGGCTGTGCTCTGCAGGGACAGCCCCAAGTTCATGCCATGGGAACACAGGGTGAACACTGCTTTGCTTGTGCAGGGGCTTTAGGCAGCACTTTGTTTCCTAGCCCCCCAGGAAAGAGAAATCCCTGCTGGGATGTCTTTGGAAAAAGCTCTTTGGCTAACTGGCTGTGCTCAGCAGGCTGCATGGAGCTGCTGGTGTGGAGGGGTGCAGCCTGGCTTCATCCCCCAAGGACCAGCAGGCACCAGAGGCATCTGCCAGCCCTCTCCAAGGGCTCCCTCAAGCCCCGTCCACCAGGTTTGAGCTCTCCTACCTTGTTGGGGAGGCCCTCCAGCTGGCAGCTGAGGATGTCCATCTTGCAGCACGTCAGCAAACCTCTGGTAAGCACCAGCTTCTCCAGCCCATCTGGTTCCAGGACATGGGGCACTACCACCACCAGCTCCCCAAATTTCAGCTCCCCAGTGCCTGCTGGAAAATGGCTGCAGTGGATGGAAGGAAGGTGGCAAACCCAAATGCTGCTCTGAGACCAACTGCCATGGCTCATTCCAGAACATCCATGGGAGGTGGCCAGAGACAGCTGGAGCTCCCAGACCCAAGAGACAGGCACAGCAGTGGAGTCCAGCTTGGCACCAGCCTCTGTCTCCTCACACCCAAACACGCCTGACACCCTTTGCCAGAGGCCTTCCTCAGCTCAGGATGGAGCACGCACCTTGGCTGGGGAGCTGGAACAGGGTCAGCACAGCACTGGCCCCGTACTGGGGCTGGGGGGCCGTGTTCACCAACATGCTCAGGGCTGTGCCTGCCAGCAGCCTCGTGTCCTTGTTCAGGGCCTGGACTCGCAGGGAGGCAAAGGCACAACTCAAAACACCATTTAAACCCCAACCACATTTAACTGTGCCTGCAAACAGCTACATGGGGTCTCTCAGACATGCCAGACACTCTGCAGGCTTGCCTTGGGGAGGGGAATGGGGAAAGCACCTGGGAAGAACAGCACTGCTCTGCTCCTTGGGACAGGCAGCTCCATCCCTCCCAGGGCTGTACGCACCTTCCCCCACGCCACCTCCAGCAGCAGTCCCAAGAGGCTCTGCAGGGTCTCACTCTTTCCTGATGTGCTCCACACCAGGGGGGCCACATCCTCTGGCAGCACCTGGAAGACCTGGAGGCAGGCCTGGAGGAGCAGGAGGTGCCACAGGGATGATCAGTATTCCTTACCTCTAAAAAAGCAGCAATGCCCCAGGAACAGCCATTCAAAGCAGTTACATCCCTCTGCACATTGCTGCCGGTGCCCAGCCTGTCCTTGCAGGTACTGATCCTTCCCCCACTGCCCAGTCTGGCTCCTACCTTGACGACCAGGTAGCCCCACGTGCTGCCAGGTGTGGGCTGGCCCTGCAGCACCCAGTGCAGGGTGCTGGCCAGGCGCTGCAGCAGCAGGGCCAGGTTCTGGCGCCAGTGCTGCCGGCCCAGGCTGCTCTCCTCCAGGAACATGGACACTGCGGGCAAGGGGACAGCATCAGCTCCAGCCCTCCTGCTCCCAGTTCAGCCAAGGGCACTGGTAAGTGAGGTATGAATGGGGCTGGGATGCAGGGGATGCTTTGGGTTGTCTGGTTTCCAGCTGTGGGTGGGCAGAGCTGGATGCTGCTGGGACCTGTGCAGAGATCACATGGATCTGGCTGATCCCCGCTCCCCTCCCATGAGCACAGAGTACCCAGTTTGGGTTGGCAGGAAATATTCTGTGCACTCGTGTGAGCTTGGAGAAAATCCCAGAAGGTAAGGAACAGAGGCTGACCTGACTGAAGGTCCTCAGGAGACAGCACCTGCAGGGACAGAAGGGTAGTTTGTCCTGTGTGACAACATGCTGATGCTCAGTACCTTGGGCAGGAGAGTTCTGCCAGTGCCAGAGGCTGCCCCAGGGATGAGCAAAGGGCTAGTGTGAAAGGCCAGCCCTTGAAACATGTGAACATATAAAAATGTTGAAAAAATATGAAAATTAACATATGAAAATGTTGAAAAAAATATGAAAATGAACATATGTAAATGAACATGTGAACATGTGAAAAGCCACATGTTGCCAGCTGCAAGCAAGGGCAAATCCCCCAGAACCATAGGAAGTGAAGAGAAGGACTGGCCCAAACCATGAGGTGCCTGTGATACATGGTCTCCAGACAAGTCCCCATGAAAGCCAGTGACCCTGCACAGCCAGGGTTCTCTCACCTCTCCCTGCAGTGCCAAGCCAGCCAGCAGTGTGTCCACCTCCTGGGCCAACAAGGCTTCTTTCCCCACTGCCAGTTGGGTCACCATCTGCCAAGAGACACCCCAAGTCAGCTGCTCTGCTCTGTCTGGGGGACACCAGCTGTCAAGTGCTACTGGGGGAGCCTGCACCACTCTGAGCTCCTTTGCTGGTAAAGATGCCAAAAAACTCCAGAGCTGTGCCAGGGGTGGGCAAAGCCAGCCCAGCAATTGCCTTACAGACCTGTTCCAGTTTCTGGAAGGAGCTGCAGCTGCTGGTTGCCTCCATCTGGAATGCCAGGACACAGCGGAGCAGGGGTCGTGCCTCTGCCTCCCCCAGCGCCTGCAGACCCTCGCTCAGCACCCGCGTCAGCTGGAGAGCCTCCTCCAGGTGCTTCTCTTTGCATCTCTTGGCAGTACTCCTAAGCAGGACAAGGGTAGGGGTGAGGATACCTTGGCCCGGTGAAGTTTGTAGCGGGGGAGTACCGCGACTCAGTGGGATCTGGGACCGGGGTGCCCCAGCGTGCGGTGTCCTCTCTGCCAGCCGCACTCAGCATTTCGCTGGAGGACGGAGGGACGGCGGCGGGGGAGGGGAGCTACACGAAATCGTCAAAGCTCAGCGCATTGCAAACCCTCGCTGGGCAGAAGGGCACGAAAACCCTCAGCACTGCAGCCCTGGAAGGGAACGTGGGGCTCGGACCCCTCGCTGGGAATCGACCGCCCCTCGCTCCCTCCCTCCTGCCCTCCCGGCCCGCGGGACGCACGGCCGCGGCGCACCGGGGGCGTCGCGACGCAGCCGCCGCCGGGCACAGCGGGAGCTGCCTGCCCGGGGCCGCGCTCTTACCCCGCGAAGTGCCGCAGGCAGCGCAGGCAGGAGAGCACGGCGGGGGCGAGGCCCCGAGCGCCGTAGAAGGCGGCGCAGGCCCGCGCCTCCCGCTCGGCGCCCATGGCGGCCGGCC